TTCAAATTATCTCCTACTTGGTTTGTTCAGCTTCTTTAATAAGAGTTTGTCAGTGAAATGATACTGTTATGAATTTAATTTTATTTATTAACAAAGATAAATCCAATTCCTTATTTATTTAATTTTTTCTTGCATTGAATTGAATATAAAAATCAATGATTACATGGGGTCTTTGCCTTAAAAATGACCTTACAGCTCATAATAAATTATATGATCCAAACTTAATTTTCAAGGCAAAGACCCTACATGGTTTATTCATATTGATTTAGTATGTGAACATAATTATTTATTAATCAAAATTTAATTTCTTATCAAAAATTTCAAGAATTTAATAATTAGTTTAGCCTATATCACAAAAGTATCAGCCCTGTGATTACTAAATCAGATCTACAACTTATTGTTAATATTTATAATATTTGATATAATAGGGTGTCACTTCCGAACTATACTGAAGTTCAAAGAATGTGTTGGTTATAGTTTCTTAGACAGAAGTTTGTCTAATTGGCTAATAAATTCAATTTAATTTTACATTATTTATACAGCTTAGAGTACTTTTTAAAAAACAAATAATAATAATGAAATAAAAAAAGCTGCATAAAAAGATTTATTAGAGCTGTAGAACTCCATGGCCAAAAATAAGATCTAATTCTCGTCTGTTTAAAAAAAATAGTATAGTAATAATTTCTCAAACCTTAATAAAATCAATTTATTATTAAGCTAACTTTTTTAAATGGATGAGAATTAGATCTTATTGTGGCAATGGAATCCTACAACTCTAATAAATCCTTTTATGCAGCTTTTTTTATTTCATTATTATTAGTTTTTGTTTTTTTAAAAAGTACTCTAAGCTGTATAAATAATATAAAATTAAATTAAATTTATTAACCAATCAGACAAACTTCTGTCTATGAGATTATAGCTTGAAGACTATACAATCAGACCTCTCTATAGTCACACTTGTTATAAGCACATCATACAAAAAATCTCTTTATAAGCATATCTATTTATAAGCACATAAATCTTTATCCCAAAGGGTGTGATTATAGAGGGTCTGACTGTAGCTCTATGATTTGGCAAAGAATAATGACATCAGATAAATGACTTAACAAAGAGTATTTATAAGGCTTTATCGAAAGAGGCAAATGACTAATTGTATGGGGATACAAACAATTATGATAATATGTTTATTAATCAATTGAAAATTCGAATGTACAAGAGAAAGTTTGAAGTTTACATATGAAAATTCGTGTTTATAACTGTTTAATAGATAAGACAAAGTCTAATTCTCTACAAGGTAAAAGGTAAGGTCTAGTATCTTCCAAAATAATATTCTGCCACATAAAGTATTCCTTCTTCACCAATGAAATCACTGGATCTGTTAATAGTATTCAATTTTTGAGATCAGATTCTTAAATTAGACTGGTTACTATAGGCAGTGCTATATGGTATATATGTTTTCTAAGTTGAGGTCTTGCTATATTTAAGATTGATTTCTATCTAATGCTAATATAATATGTTCAATGTAAAAAATGAATGAGAACATAAAATAGAGCAAAATAGCACATGATATGAGATTATTCATATGTGATCATTGAATGATCCTTGAATATCTTCACATTGTATTCTTATAATCTGCAGCCATGTTTGTATGTCTAAGTAATGTTATTTGAAAAGATTCTATGTAACAAAGAACTTCGAAATTAAAATCAGTAAATCAATTTTTTATTTATAATTCAGTATATTAAAAATATTATTTGTAAGTTCTAACTTAAATCCAAATAGCTTAGAGATTACTAAACCAATTTATCTTTTATTAGAGATTTGCAGAATTTTGACATTTTGCCAGGAATTGATGTTTTACTAAGATACTTCATCAGTTTTAACATTTATTTCTTAGGTTTAATTTCCATGAAGAATTTAGTACTGTTTTAGTTTTGTTAATATAAATTCTAGGTGTGAACACAAGTAAGGATTAAAAGTGTTGAGTAATAAAGTTATAATATAGTAATTATGTTGTAATCAACATTTCAGGATTAACTAATTCATCACTTCCTATTACTATATTGGGCAAAGAAAAATCCTGCTTTTCATGAATAAAATTGGCTTAGAAATTTTGACATGATAAATAACAAAAGTAGTATAAAGGCCTAATAGAATGTATAGTATACTAAAATTTCACAAGAAATTTTTTTGTTAGAACATAAAAGGTGATTTGTAATTATAACCTGAAGAAGTTCTAAGATGTTATCGACATACTTTTCTATATTTAATTTGAATTATTAAATTAATTTAAATTATTCAGATTGTAGATTGAAGTACTAGTTTTTAGTCTATATTTTTAATGCCAAAACAAACCTACAAAAGAGAATAAATTATTAGTTCTCTATTTAAAAAAATAGAACATGACATTGAATCTAATACTTATCATTGGATTTAGTTTTAACTTGCGATCCAAATCTTTGTTTGTCAAATTTCCAGTTTGTGTCAGAGAAGAAAAGACCAATAAAAGATAAGTATTAGCCTTTTTCAACAAAAAAAATTTGGTCATATAAAGAAAAAATGAAAACTTCATACCTGATTTAAATCTTCATTCATCAGGTTTTTAGTTCATATCTTAGCAAAGAAATTTACTAAAAAAAAAGAAATGTTAGCTTTATTCAAAAAAACTAACACAATAAAAAAAAAAAACTAGCATTCACAATTTGTACCAAGTTTTTGGCTTCTTATCTGTATAAATTGTGTAATTCTAAATTTTTATTGTAAATGTTATTACTATGTTTAACAAAGCTAACCTAAAAAAAAGAGTAATTAATAAACATGAAACCAAAAAATATTGTCAAATATATATATATATTGTAAATAGAAACAGAATTTAAGTGGATTCTGAATTTCTATATAAATCAGCATTTCAGGATAAAACAAAAGTTAAAGATAATGTTCAATCAGTATTTGAAGTCAACAGAAGGAACCATCAACGTTACATTCACCTGGTATGCAATATATAAAAAAATTATTTTACAATACCAAAAATAGCAGTGAATGATCAGTTGACAGTTTCTTCTGTTTTGAAGTCACATGTAAGTTTATAATTCATGATTGTAGATTTTTTCATTTTTACTCATAACAATCAACTTTTAATTTCCTAACAAATTATTTACATATTGAGTTTTGATAGTAAATAAATCTGATTAACTGTTTTTTTTTCTTTTTTTAATCAAAATTTTTTTAAAATGAGTTAATTTTTTTTTTATATAGATAATTTTAGATCGATATTTATTAAAAATCAACTAAGTTGATTTTTCTATATTTAATCAGTGTAAAGATGTTACATTACAAATTTATAAAAAAATAAAAAAAGACTAAGAAAAACATATTTAACATTACAAAGAAAGATATGAAGAAAGATTGTCTGCAATAGCACGCAAATATTCCATAGTTGACAGACTTTCACTATTATTAAAAATAGTCATAATTTTTTTCTCTTTCTCAACATAATATTTGTTTGGCTTAGGTCTAGGTTCACTACAGAGAATACGCTTAACCTAAATATCAACATTTTGTTGTTCTTTTTGTAACTTATTTATCAATATATATACACTTACATTTGACTTTCTAACTAGAATATTCCATCTATTGTGCCAGGCCTCCACAGAGTTTTGTGTCCATAGAACACCCCATTCTACTAATTCATAAACAGACCATAGCTGTGATTGAAATAAGAGTATGTTACGAGCTACTATGGTTTCATCTTGTGATTGATGTCGTCTTCCAATATAATTTTTTTTAAACCAATGAATCATATCACTTGCCTCAGAAGGCATACTTACTTTTAAAATATTAAATGCATCTGAAATTTGTTCTTGGGACAAAAATGCCAGAGCAAATAAATGCTGAATCATGTAGCTAAAATAAATATCACTTCTATATAAAGTAACTAAGCCAAGCTGTTGTATTTTACACCATCCACTTTGACATAGATGAAAAAAGCATGCTTTATTTATCGCACTAGGGAATTCATATCGTGAAGCATTGATGGCTGCTCTTTTGAAGTTGGTGATTATCCATTTTGGGGCTAATTGAATATTCTTTTGATTTACAAATTCAGATAAGTTATTGAAGAACTGCCTATATTTAGTATTGAGTTTTTTAATAATTACAATTTTTAAATTACAAAAATTCTATTTTTACTATATAGGTTAAATATAACATTGTATTTAAAATGGCATCCACAATTTACATTAAACTAGTACTGTATTATATAAAAAATAGTGATTTTGAAGATATGGTTTAATATAGATTATGGATGCTGCATTATTGCTTTGCAAGTATTGTTATTGTTGAAGATGTGATACTATTTATCACATAGTTCAAGATATTCAGATCAGTATAGTCAAACGGTTGGTTCATTAGTAAATGTTACATCTTTTTATTATATTATTTATTACGTAATGTGATAAATAACATAATAAAAATATGTAACAATTACCATTGAACAAACCATAATATTGCTAATCGTCTGATAGAAAATAAAAAATGATATATATAAATAAAATTAATAAAAATTAATTTAAAAATTTCTATCACTAACCTATATGTTTGTTCAGACTTATTTGTCAAAAGAGAGTATACCAAAAGTAAAATTCTAGAATTTTCTTCTGGACCAACTGGCACATAAATGGTATAAAGTTGGCAAAAATTAGTTGGACAGTTTTCAATGTACCATCTATGATCCAATAAGAGGCTTTTGATAGATGCTTGATATTTTCAGTGGTGGAAAAAATAAGGGTCCTACTATGGTTAGTTAGATGACCTTTAATTAAAAAAAAATTATCCTTCAAAGTAACTTGAAGTGAAGGTGGAATGTTGAAGTCTAAAGTGTTTCTTAATCATGATAATTTTTTCATTTTTCTAATATGAGTAACTATCTAATGAAGTGCATTAAGTGATGGCATGATGAGTTAAACATCTTCTGAAAGATTACTCATATGATTTTGAATTAGCTATACTGGCTTTTCATGGCCTTCAGAGGCATGCCGTTTAAACTCAGTAATAGCTTTTATGGTCTCAAGATGGCCAGCTTGGGGAGCATGGTTATGTTCAGTAAAATTTATTAGATTATGTAAATTATTAAGCAAAACTGTTGTTGTACGCCCCATGCAATTTTTTGACTTTCTATATTTGCAGCACTAGTAGTATCTGTTATCTTTATTTCTTTCTTTAACCATTAAGTATCTCTGGATGTTGATTTTATCATTTCCTTTCTGAGATTTTATAACCTCACAAGTTTCCATTTTGTTTAGTTTTTATAATAATGGAATGTTTAAAAAAATAGTATTCTAATAAATAATTATAGAAAGATTATAAATAATAAAGTGAATATTGTTGAATGCAAAATAAAATGAATGTATTTTTAAGTTATATTAATATAATTTTTCATGTAATTTAATATACT